TATATATACCCGCGCGTTTATTTTATATACACGAACGAGAGAAACATGAATAGTAATAAATCCACGCGGAGGAAAAGAAAGAAAGAAAAAAAAAATATATACATGTATGCAAGAGCGTCTTTGACGAGGGAATGGTTTCCGCGAGCGAGAGACACGCACATGCGGTGTATCGGTATATTGGAGCGAGACCGATCGAAGGTGCAGCCGAGCGGAGCTTAAACTATACACGTACACCTATATATGTGTGCGCGTGTGTGTGTATCGGGCGCTAAGGCTTTATCTCGCGGCCCCAGCAACTGCGTCATTGGAAGCGATAGGTAAGTATATATATATATGTATATACATGTGTTGAGCGGATACGCGTCGAAAACAGGGAGGAAAGGAGTATACCTACGCATTGGAGGAAGGGAGATGTTTCGCGTATACCTATACGCTTAGCACCGATTAGATCTTTCTCCCACCCCTTCTCTCTTTGACGTTTCGATGGTTTTGCCCGCGGCGCGAGGGATTCACTGTTGTCTACGTGTGGAAAAAAAAAAAAAAAAAAAAAAAGTAACCATGTTATACACCATTGGACAAAAGCTCGGCTGGAAAAATTCAAAAAAGCCCAAGTCACCGAGGATAGCGCGGGCACAATGCGCAAGTTGTGCCTTATATATATACCTACCCACTGCACGTAGAGACAGGAGAGAGACTCGGTCGATTTTAATATCCATAATATTCCGCGTGCGGCGTTAGAGCGAGTGTGCAAACATAATATACTGTATTATAGGTGCTGTGGGGAATAAAAAAAAAAAAAAAAAAAAGAAAGGGGACTGGCTAATATTTGCTCGGAAATATCTTTGGAACGTATCATGGGTTACGTAATGCGCGAGCACGAGTCTGTTACGTGGGGGGATGGAATGAAGAAAGGAAAAAAAAGAAAAATAATAATAATAATAATAATAATAGTGGTGCTCACGTAGAGGTACTCACCGTGTAGGCGATGGTATTGATTTGCTGGGATAGTCGGCCGGACTTTTTTTCCTGCGAGCCTGAGCCATCCTTGCTCTCGCTGTCCGGATCTGTAATGGCAAAAAAGGATTCACGTTATTCCCAATTTGTATGAAAAAACCCTTTTGATTTTGACTCGGTGACACGAGGTTTACAGTCGATGTAGTCGTTTGTATAGGCAATGTGTATATGATACTTGTGTCTATATAAGGTGAACGTGATTTTTTTTTTTTTTACTCCAATCATAAGAAAAGCATACTATGTTAAAAAAAAAACGCTACTATTTTGAGGAAATCAGTTAAAATTTTACCATGACGTGACACAATATATTGGATAAAATCTTTCACTATATACATATAGACTAACACAATAAATATTGTGAGCACATCTTGATAATCTTCAAAAGTATATAGCAATTTTCTCATAAAAACCCAAAAACGGTACGTGGCATGAGACTTAAATCACGCGTTGAAAGTTTTTTTGGCATCTCTTGGTCCAAAAGTAATAATAACCTATGGGCCTCGCGATAATGAACACTCGTGTGAATCTTTCTGTTTTTCTTTCAGGAACGCAGAGAAAGCGAATTTTCTCGAGGATTGTACAATTCAGCGACAAACAGGACATAGGGTTTACTATACGTAGAAAAACAAAAAGAGGTATCGCTTTACCCAACGCGAGCTTGAATGACATCTCGAATTTATTACAAGTTGGTCATTTTTTTTTTTTTTTTTTTTTCTTTCTCATGAACCAACCATGTAACTATTTTAAAATTTAGCTCAAAAAATTGAATAAAATATCACGTAACGAATTTCGACGAGTCAAACAAACTCGTCATGTTTAAACATGCGGTTAAACAAATCAATGGTCACCTATTTATGTTGAAATTATCGTGGCAATAATCACGCAATTATCTACTCCAACAAAACAGCCGTATCGAATGTATAACACAAATAATTTAATGAGTAAAATCACAACAAACAATTTATTTAAAAATAATTTTTATAAGATACGCCTATATGGATTTTACGGACAACTACATACTTTTTTATCTGTAAGTATCCAAGGCACCCTTATTCCTAAAAATTGCAAATAAGATATCGGATGCAATAGAAAAAAAATGAAATAAGAAAACAAAGGATTTATTCTTCTTATTAGACAATCGCTCATTCGTTAGACACGTATCATGTTATGCCAATCACGCAAACTACGAATCACGGAAAAATCGAGGCATCCAACGACGTCGTTTGCAAGAGTTACAGTAGGGGGGGGGGAGACACCTATAAATTTACACCTACACGTATAAATGGACATTGTTTTTCTGGTATGCGTGACTTGTGGCGTTACGTGCCCATACCAACGAAGCGGAGAGTATCGATCGCTACAGCAATCGGGAAAACGACAAACTGATACCCTCAAAACACAAGTTCGTGTATTTATCTTTTTTATGGAAAGTGAAGGTACCGAAGAACAAAAAAAATGGGTGTGACGCATTGGACTTATCGGAAATGAAAGATTTTTATTTACTTTTCGTCTCTAAATTAATAGCAACTCACCTTTCAAAGACCATATATATCGTGGTCTACTTGGCCACACAATACGTTTGTAACTTACAGGAAAACTCGTTTTACACGGTTCAACGAAAGGTGTACCATATTGCGATTTGAAAAAAAAAAAAAAAAAAACACGAAGCTCAGCAGCAGCATAGGAACACGAAACCCACGAGCTCGCAAAAGCGAATGCACACCCATATGCACTACACATGTGTAACATCCAACACAAAATACACTCACTTTCTCGTTGCTCCTTTTAATAATAGAATTTTTTTTTTTTTTTTCATTCCCCGAAGCGTAACGTTGGTCCACCTTTGTGCAATCAACACAAAATTCTTAAAAATTAAATCAGTGTAAACGTGATTATTCAAACTTGTTAAAGTCACGAATTTGATGTTGATACAATAATGGTACAGCGAGTGTAAGCAGCACCGACAACTGATGAATCAGTGAATATTAATTTGTTCACATTCGAGGTGATTGGCTTAAGAAAAGAAAAAAAAAAAAAAAAAAAAAAAAAAAAAAAAAAAAAAAAAAAAAA